CATCTTATCAAGTTTCTTGAAATATCCTGTTGGGATTTTGATTGGTATGACATTGGCTGTACAGATTTATTTGAAGGAACTGACATCTTTATGATATTGAGTCTTTCTATCTAGGAAGAGAGCATAACTTTCTGTGGTAACTTAAATACAGCCACAAATTATTTGCAGCCCCTTCCATTAAGAGGTGGAGTCTACTTCCCCACCTCTTGGATCTGGGCTGGCTTTGCTCTTCGCTTTATCCAATAGAATGTGACGTTTGGCAAGTTTCAGAGCTTGGGACACATAAAGAGATGTGGTGTCTGCCTTTATTTTCTTGAAATGCTGCCTTGAGACCACCACACCATAATGAAGCCCAGGACAGAAGGGCAAATGGAAAAAGAGACCCAGCTGTCCCCGCTAAGTTCAGCACCCCACCAGCTGACCTGCCAGCTGAATGCAGCTGCGTGTGCGAGCCTAAGTGGAAGCAGCAGAGGACTGCTTAGCCAAACCAGAGAATTACATGAAATGATGCTGATTTAAGCCATTACATTTTGCATTTTATTCCACAACAAAGATTAGTTAAAAGAGAAATTGGTACCTAAGAATGAGGTGCTGCTACAAAAAATACCTTATACATGCATCATGGCCTTGGGACTGGGTAGCGGATAGAGGCTAGAAGGGTAGCAAGGAGACCATTAGTGGAACAGAAAAATCAGTGAAGAAACTACTATTGAAATCTGGAAGGATGGTAAACCATGTCTTGTGTTAGTGAAAAAACTGGCAAATCTGTTTTTAGTATACGTGCTGCCGAAGCGAGTATGGCAAATCTGATGCTAACACCACACAAAGCAGAAAAACCACCTGGCCAACCGATAGAATGAGTTTTATTGAATTATTGTTTCATTAATAAGAGTTAGGGATAGTTTATACAATAAATACTTGAAAGACTAACGAACTTGTGAATCTGATTGTTATGAACTGACTTGTGTCCCCTCCAAAATGTATATACTGAAGCTCTAATCCCCAATATGTCTGATTTTGGAAATATGGCCTTCAAGTAAGTAATCAAGGATAAATGAGGTCATAAGAGTAGGGTCCTAATTCAATAGAACTGGTGTCCTTGTAAGACAGATCTAGTAACCTCTCTGTAGATATTCTTGAGTTTTTTGTCAGAAAAATATGATGTTCATTTCAAATAATCATAGCTCATTTCCCCCCTAAGTCAGCAACATTTATTTTGTACATTCTTTTCATTCAATTTTGGAGTAGTCATTACATTAACATACTTTAAGAAATATTAAAAGATATATAGTAAAAGTCTTGCTGTATCATCAATCTTTTGTCTTACTTGCAATCGCTAATACAATATTGACCGATATGAGTATTAGCAGATGTCCCTGACTTTTAATTGTCTTTGATAAAAAGCTTTCTAAATTTTGTCATTAAAATAATAATTTTTACAATAGGTTTTTGAGAGAGATCTTAATTCATCAGGTCAAGGAAGTTATCTTCTGTCTTTCAATTGCTAAGAGCTTATTTATCATAATTGAGAATGGAATTTTACCCAATTGTTTGCCTCTTAATTTTGAGTTATACCCTATATAGAGTGAAATGCACAGATCATAAGTGTTTATTTTAGTGAACTTTTGATATGCATATGGCCATGTAACCCACACCCCTCTCAAAATATAGAACATTCTCATCACCTAGAAAATTCCCTTGTTCCTTTTCCAAGTCAATCCTACTACCCCGCCATCCTGAGATAACCAAACTTTTGATTTTTCACATTTAATTATGTCAAATCTAGAACATGCTATAAATTGAATCGTTCAGTGTGTACTCTTGTTGCTGTGGATATCAGTACTTTGTTTCTTTTTCTTTTCTTTTCTTTTTTTTTGAGTAGTGTTCTATTATGTGAACATACTGCAATTTATTTACACATTTTCATGTGGGAACATTTAGGTTACTCCCAGTTTTGAGTTATATGAATAAAGATGCTATGAACATGTTATGAAAGTTTTTTGTGAACTCATGTTTTTCCCCTTTCTCTTTTAACCTATCTGTACCTTAATAGTTAACATATATTTCTTGTAGGCAGAATATACTGTCTTTTAAAAAAAAATCCATTTGGGCAATCTCTGCCAGTCAAGTGATCTGTTTAGCATGTTTATATTTAACATAATTATTAACATGACTGGCTTTAAGTATATTACTTTGTATTTGTTCCCTTTTTTTCCGTGTCTATGACTTTTCTCCTCTTTCTTGCCTTCTTTTGGATTCATTGAATACTTTTTAGTATTCCATTTTATTTTCTCTATTGTTAGCTATGCCTCTTTGTAAAACAAAATAAAATAAAATTGCTTCCAGTGGTTGCTCTAGGGTTTACAATATATCTTTCTAACTTAACCACATTCTACTCATAAATAATACTGTGTTACCTACATAAAATGTAAGTACTCTAATTTCCTTCCTTTTGTTCTTTATGCTATTGGTGTCATATTTTTACTCCTACCTATAAGCCTCACAATATATTGTTATTATTTTTGCTTTGAATAGTCAAAAACCCTCCAAGGAAATTATGAAGAAGAGAAAGAAATCATTTAAATTTGCCCGCAGTTTTTTACCATTATTGCCACTCTTTGCTCCTTTGTGTAGATCTAAATTTCCATCTAGTATCATTTTCTTTTGGCCTAAGGAACACTTTATTCAAACTTTCTTGTCACTCAAATCTACTGATGACAAATTCTCTCAGCTTTTATTTAACAGAAAAATGTTTTTATTTGCATTCATTTTTGAAGAATATTTTTTCTGATATAGAATTGTAAGTTGACAGCTTTCTTTTTCATTTTGCATGATGAAGATATTTATTCTTTATCTTGTAGCTTTTTCATCCTTTGTGATTGAGAAGTCAATGTCATGTTATCATTGTGCCCTATATGTAATATGTCTTCTTTCTCTGACTGCTTTTAAGATTTTTCTCTTTCTCTTTGGCTTTTAGTCATTTGACTAATTTGACAATGATGTGCTTAGTATGGGTTTCTTTGTGCTTATTCTGCTTGGGGTTCACTGAAATTCTTAAATTTCTGAGTTGATATATTTCATCAAATTTCTTCTTCAAATATGTCTTTCTGTACCATTTTCTCTCTTCTGCTGGATTTCCAGTTGCTTCAGAATTTAGAGACTCCTCATTTCTTATATTTCTTTTTCTGTTTGTTTGGTTTTTTTTTTTTTTAGTTTGAATAGTTCCTATTTCCATTTCTTTAAATTCATTGATCTTCTCTTCTACAGCATCCAATCTTGTAAATCTTGTCCAATGAATTTTTCATTTCAGAAATTGTCTTGCATGTTGAAAGTCATCAACTGCCTGGTGATTCTTGTCTATCCATTTGTAATTAAGAGCAAGACACAGAAAAGCTGTGTTTGTGAACAAGTTTGTCAACTTTGCTGTAGAGTGATCTGTGGGAGCAATAGGCATTATCTCAGGGAACCCACAAAGGCTAAAATGTGGAGGTCTTTTCTCTAGCACCATTCGACTTCTCCATGGAGAAACCTCTAGTTTCTTGATTACAAAGCAGATATCTCGCTGCAGGCATTCTTAGAGAGAATGAGTTGGGGTGAGGATAGGAGGAACAATAACCATCTTCCTTCTTGATCACCCTACACAAAGAAGGTAAATAACAAAACCTGACAACAGACCCAGACTTCCTAATTATCTTTTCAGTATCTCATTTGAAAACACAAGTATAATCAAGGATCACCAGACATCTGCTTTTCTGTTCTATTTTCAGCCCTACTTCTTATTCTTGCCCACAAATGTATGTCCAGTTTTTGGTCCCAAAGTTCTCTGGGGTTCTATCAGTCAAATCTTCCGTCTTGCTCCAGTTTTCCTTTCCAAGCCCTTAAAGCTATGCCTTTCTCTGCCTTTCTCAATCAATTAGTACTCATCTATCTTGTTTTCATCAAGTGATTGCCCTCTTACTTTTTAATGTCATTATTTGGGCTTACATATTTTTCTTTCATTAACTATAGCTGTAGAGAAGTCTCAAGAGAGATTAAAAAAATGAAGAAGTGTGATCAACTGTTTTTAATGAAAAATATATGGGCACAATAAGATCTTTTTTGCAGAGGGTCAAAAGCATCTTGAGACTGGTCAAATCAAAGAGAAATACTTGCAATAATGTGAGAAAGCAGTATTCTATATGAAATCATATATGCTAAGTTATTAATTCTGGCTTTACTACCTGCTAGTCATATGATTTAGGGCAAATTCTTTGATCTCTCAGAGTCTGTTTCTTCTTCTCTAAAATGGGAGGAATTTAAAATTAGTAGTACTTTAACTATTATTAAGAGTTATGAGCACATACAATGTGCTTAATAAATATGTTTCACTTTTTGCTTTGAAATGAATAAACAAAAGTGGAAATTAGTTAGTGAAATGTTCATCAAGACCAGACAAGCAAAGCTGAAGAGTAGATTGGTGACCATTTTTCTCAGTGACATCTTACTAAGAGATCTATTGGAAAGAAAAGAACATTTTCCTTTTGATGGGTTTTAGTCAGACTTACCCGGTTAAATCTTATCTTTAAAAGCCATACTGTTCCTATGTCTTCCTCAAGAATTTTCTCCTCTCTTAGGCTTTCTGCCTCATAAGACATACTTGTTTTAAAAGAAGATGAAGTGTGTCAGCCATGGTCCCAGCAGGAAGCTGACTTCACCTCAACTGGTTCCAAAGAAGGGACTTTAATAAGGGAACTCTTTCAGAGGAGTAGATAAGGAAACAAACACACGATATTGAGGCACCCTGAGGCTAGCAGTAGCGGGCAGCCATTACCACATCAGGGACAAGAGGGACAAGGGGGAGAAATAGAACTACTGGTCCCCAATGAGAACTGAGATGTGGAGAAGGGACCAGCCAGCAGAATTTCTAGGTGTAGAAGATGCAGCAACTATCTAAGGCTTTGCAAGACAGGAAAGAAGAGAGGAAGAAACAACCCAATACACCTTTCTTCTCCCATCTTCAGATCCCCTTGGCTACTGGAAGCCAGTTGTTGAGGGAGCCTGAGAGATGCGGTCCACAGCAGTCGGCCTCCAGGGGCCCAGAGCAAGGTAGAGAGTGCACCTGTGTGGAGCAAAAGGGGAATGATCAGCATATGAAGTTTTAAGAAATATCTGCTGCATTACTAGGAGGAAATCGAGATATGTGAAAAATCTGCACATCCTCAATGATACCAAGTGACTGAAACAGAAAACTGCAAGCCATGAAAAAAAATTGTCTTCACTTTACCGTTGATGCTTGTCATATGTAGAAATAGATGAGGATGGAAATGGAGGCATTTCCAATTACAAAACAGAATTGTTTCATATTGTATGTTTTATGCCTTCTGGTGACCCCAAGTTTATCATCTTAGTGAGGGAACCAAGACAACTGCCACTCGGGGAAGGGGGCAAAACAGTCAGTTCTGAACTAGTGGAACTGACCAGGCTAAAGGATCAAGGACTATTTCCAATGTGTGCATGAGTGCAATTTCAAGAAATGTCTCAGCCTTGTCATGGATGTCTCTAAGGATTTGTTAAAAAAATTCAAATGCCACAGATTTATTTATTTTATGCTGAGAAATCCACTGTGCCCTCAGTTAGAAGTTCTAGATGACACCTAGTTTAAGATGATTCTGAGAGTGAGACTCTGTATCCTTGCATTTTACTTAAGGCCTAATAGTATGCCAGGCTGCTTTCCCTTTTGTTAATAATGAAGACTGATCACAGTATTTGATTAAAAATTATGTCCCACTTGGCAGAGCTGTGGCTTGCATTTTGGTGCTTTGTGTCAGTATAAATATTTATCAAGTCGTGAGTCTTATTTCAGGTTGATGACTTCTTCTGCTAGGAATCAGTGGATAGGATTCAGGGGCCTGTGAAACTCGTAAAATTGATTGCAAAATGTTTGGCGTGCACATGTTTTTTCGAGGAAGAAGATCTATTGTTTCCACAAATACTCCAAAGCTATGCCTTCCTTGACCTTTCTAAATGAATTAGCATTCCCCTGTCTAGTTTTCATTAACTAATGGCCCATCTACCTTTTATCTCATCGTTTGGATTTACATATTTTCCTTCATTAGCTGTCATTATAGAGATTCTCAAGAGAGAGAAAAGATACACATATGTGATCAGCTGCTTTTAACGTTAAGAACCATGGCTGAATACAAATATACTGAAAGGGAAACTAGTGAAAGATGAGAGACTCATAGTAGCAAGTTTTTTCAGAGAGATAGGAATTTGTAACCAAGATGCCCTCCTCAACAGTCTTGTTGTCTGGTCTTACGGTGCTTTAGGTGAGAGAGTTTGGGATGTAAAAAGTGAAAAGTAAGATGATCTTTCCCTGATTTTAAAGATTGAACGGGATTGGTCTAGTAGTCCCGGATTGGCTCCCATTTTCTTATTGAGACTTCATATTTATTCATATTTATTTGGGGATTTTACGTGACAGTAGGATAGTATTCTTGAAGCTGCCAAGATGGTTACAGGCAGCCCCATGGATAAAATAACTGATAGTCCATCCTAGGAATGGTGCACTAAGGCCTTGGGCAAGTATCACATAGTTATGGGGTAAAGAAGGGGTCTCAAACTCAAAGGCCTGTTGGCAGCTGGGCCTGTGTGAGGTGAGCAAATAATGCAGAGCCAAAGACGTTATGCTGTGTCTCCAAAGGGGGCAGCTTTTACTCAACTCTACTTTTGTTTATTTGTTTTGTTTG